TCACAGTTGAGCGTGTACTCATTGATCCGAGGAGCACATCGGAGGTTATGTACTACAAGACATTCACCAAACTCGGCTTCTCCGAATCGGATCTCTTTCCGGCCCCTTATCCACTATTCAGCTTCAACGCCAATCCAGAGTACCCGTTGGGAAAAATCACACTACCCGTTCGAGCGGGCTCCCGAACAGTAGATGTGGAATTCTTGGTCATCAAGCTGCCATCGCCGTACAATCTCATCATGGGGCGAACTTGGTTGCATACTATGCGGGCCGTGCCAAGCACTTATCATCAGTTGCTACGCTTCCCGACAGAACGCGGTATTGAGCAAATCCGTGGCTCACAGAAGTCAGCACAAGCATGCTATCTCCTTGCTAGAAAGACGCCAAAGGAGTTGCAAGTAAATTCTATTGAGGTGCCGGATCGGGAGAGCCTCGACGATGTTGGGAGGCTCTTAAGTGAAAAGGCCGCGGAAGCCCTAGATCGAGTTGAAATCGATGGAAACCCAGACAAGTTCTTTATAGTTGGTGCCTCCCTGAATCAAGCCGACAGACAGCAGCTAATTTCCTTCCTGCTCAGCAACCTTGATGTCTTTGCATGGACTCCATATGAGATGCCGGGTATAGATCCGTCTATTTCGCAGCATCGTTTGAATGTTGACCCTAAATGCAAGCCGATCATTCAGAAAAGTCGAAGGTCAGCCGCAGAGCACACTGCCGCCGTTGTTGAAAAGGTTGACAGGTTGCTTGACGCCGGGGCAATCATGGAACTGACCTACCCTACGTGGCTCTCTAATACTGTGGTTGTGAAGAAGAAAAATGGGACTTGGCGAGTGTGCATTGATTTCACAGACCTAAACAAAGCCTGCCCCAAGGATTGTTTCCCACTACCCAGAATTGACCAACTTGTAGATGCGACGGCAAGTCATCAGTGTATGAGCTTCCTCGATGCTCACAGAGGCTGCCATCAAATCGCCATGCATCCGGAGGACCAAGACAAAACTGCATTCCTCACCCCAAGAGGAACCTACTGCTATAAGGTTATGCCTTTTGAGCTGAAGAATGCAGGGGCAACTTACCAAAGACTGGTCACTGCCATGTTCAATGAGTAACTCAGCCACACTATGGAAGTGTACATTGATGACATGGTGGTCAAGTCCAAAGAAGAGCAAACTCATCTAGCCGGTTTGGAAGAGACATTCAGAATTTTACGCAAATACAAAATGAAGCTGAACGCTTCCAAATGTGTGTTTGGGATTGGCTCTGGCAAATTCTTGGGTTGCATTGTCAATCACCGAGGAATCGAAGCCAACCCGAGGCAAATCACAGTAATCTTGGAGCTCGGCTCCCCTCATTCAGTAAAAGAGGTTCAAAAGTTGATGGGGATAGCCGCCGCACTCAACAAGTTTATCAGTCAGTCTACAGATCGCTGCCGACAATTCTTCCATACACTACGGCAGGGCAACGCTTTTGAATGGTCGGCAGAGTGTAAAGCTGCTTTCAACGGCCTCAAAACCTACCTCCGATCAGTTCCACTCTTGACAACACCTTCGGCAGGTGACCTACTCATTTTGTATCTAGCAGTTTCTAACCGGGCCGTCAGCACCGTACTGATAAAGGAAGAGCTGGGGGAGTAGCGGTCAGTGTATTATGTGAGCAAGGCAATGGTCGACTCTGAAACACGCTACCTTCTGCCGGGAAAACTCATCTTAGCCCTAGTTATGGTGGCAAGAAAACTAATGCATTACTTCTAGGGGCATAGCATCGGGGTGCTAACAGATTACCCTCTCCGATCAGTACTACGCAGTGCGGAAGCATCAGGACGCGTTTTAAAGTGGGCTCTTGAACTTGGCTAGTACGATATTCAGTTTTTACCTAGAACCTCAATCAAGGGACAGGTACTTGCCGACTTTGTGGCCGAATTCATGAGGGATCTTACCGACTTCAAGTCTAATGAAATTCGACCTAAGCCGAACTGGAGAATTTATGTTAGGGACATTTGGCAGTTGTACTGTGATGGATCATCCAATCAACGGGGCAACGGAGCCGGAGTAGTAATCATGGCTCCCGACGGGCACAATAATTGAGCAGGCCGTCAAACTCGGCTTCGAAGCATCAAATAACGAGGCCGAACACGAAGCCCTTCTGGCCGGTTTGAGGAATGCACACCTTCTGGGTGTTTGGCGTTTGCTGGTATTTTGCGATTCAAAATTGGTGATCAATCAGCTAAAGGGGGGAGTACGCAGCCAAAAATGACAGTATGGCAGCTTACATGAAATCGGCTAACGCCTTGCTGGCCAAATTTGACCATCATGAATTGAATCAGATAACACGTGATTAGAACACACATGCAGACGCCCTAGCTTGCCTAGCCTCCGCCATTAACTCAAAGATTAAATGGACCATAGAAGTAGGTTTCATCCCAAAGCCGAGCATTAGCCATTCGGAGGAAATCCAGGTCAATGTCATAGAGTCAGGACCGAGTTGGATGGACTCCATTGCTGCATTCCTGTCTTCCAAACAGCTCCCAGCGGACAAGAAAGAAGCACACAAGCTGCGAAATAAAGCCCTGCGATACTACTTGGATCCGCAAGGAAAGCTTTATAAAAAATCCCTTTTTGGATTCGCCAGTCTCCGTATTTGGAACCCCATCGGCGCATGACACCTTTGGGCCGATAAAGTCTCCGGATTCGGAGCGCCCTTCGTGGATACCACGATTGGCCAATCTCTAGATTCAGAGCCCCATCAGCGCATGACGCCTTTGGGTCGATAAAGCCTCTGAATTCGGAGCGCCCTTCGTGAATACCAGTGGCACTTATGAGTCGAATAAGACTCTCGATTCGAAAACTCATTATCGGGCAATTATTGGCCGAATAAGGCTCCGAATTCGGAGCTAGAACCGTGCAGAACAAATTAAGCACGATTCAAAAACAATGTCCTGATTCGGCTCGCCGCACACGAAAGTTGAGCCGCCGAAATGCCTGATTAAGTTTAGTTGAAATGCTTTGTTAAGTTGAGACGGCGAAAACCGTATACATGTTAAAACATATGAACATTCAAAATAAAATGCTTGATTAAGTTTAGGATTCGCAACATCATAACCAATTAAAATATGCAAACATTCGAAACGAGATGCCTAACAAGGCATGTAAACATTGAAAATCAAACACAAACGTTTGAAATAAAACATTTTATTGAACTATCCAGTAGATACAATATATGTTGGAACGTTTACAAGGAAAGTCATTTAGTTGGAATGTTTAAAATATATGTTTAGTTCTACTCGGCATCGCCCTCGTCATCGCTCTTCTCAATTTCGAAAGCATTAAAAGGAAAGTCGTGACGATGATATAATGGCGACGCCGATTCAACTCCTGCACCTTGAAGTGCCTCTGAGGCTTGGAGAGCCTTAATCCACCTATGCCTAAAGGCCCGATTCTTGCATCGGCACACCTCCTCTGGGAGTTTCTCCTTGGTCTTGTCTATCCCGACTCTTCGGCTGTCGTGGAAGCCTTTTTCATAACCCATGGTCCTTGCATTTTTCACGGCAAACATGCTTGTCGTATCCCGATCGGCTTCGCGTGACTTAATAGCCGTTGGGTCACTCTCTCTTTCACGACCGGGTTGGATTGACCTGCCGCACGCGGCTCGGTGGTTTCGAATGGCGAATCGAAAGTGGGCCCAATCCCGAGGCCCAAGAAAGAAAAGATATAAATAGAAGAACATCAGCCAAAAAGAGGTATGTGAGAACTAGCATGTTTAACTTAAGATACAAGCAATCGAGAGAGTATACACTGACTTATCCGTTGGAGTGCTAATTCCGGCACTCCCGACCGGAGTGTTAATCCTTTTTCAGGTGGCTAGTTGAGGATCATGAGCGTCCCCTAGGATCTAAAGAGTATTTCTAAACCACTTCTCCACAGTAGATATTATAAAATCATGAAGAGTCTTCAAACCAATACCGAAACCAACAACAAAACATGTTACTACAAGGGATAATTTCAGGCAAGAGAGTTTTTGCAGTGCTCCCAGGAGACACACAAAATACTGAGGCCGTAGTCTCAGGTACCCTTTCTATTTGCGATCAAGATGCTTATGTGTTAATTAATTCGGGTTCCACACATTCCTTTGTCTCAAATTTATTTGCTAATAAATTAGATAGACCATTGGAACCGTTGGATTATGTGTTATATGTATCTTCATTGTCTTTGTTGTGTACATCCATATACCCTGCATGTAAACTTTTAATTTGGCATGTTACATTATACGTTGATTTAATGCCTTTAGAGATAGGTCATTTTGACGTGATTCTGGAGATGGATTGGCTATCCAAATATTATCCAACTATTGATTGTGTGTTTAAACAGGTTATCTTCTGACCTTCGGGACAAAATGAATTTTCCATTGAGGGTAATGGGGCACTTCATCCACCTTATTTGATTTCGACAATGAAAGCTCGTAATTACTCAAAAAAGGGTGTCTAGGTTATTTGTGTAGTATTATGAGTATACAGGCAACATATAATAGGTTAGACAATATTCTAGTAGGGAATTTTTAGATGTTTTTTTAGAAGATTTCCAGGGGAGTTGATAGATCGAGAAATTGAGTTTGCTATTAAAGTTGTACTGGGCGCTCAACTTATTTCAAAGGCTCCATACAGAATGTCAATAGTAGAAATGAAAGAATTGAAAATTCAGTTGCAAGAATTGCTTGACAAGGGATTCATTTGGCCTAGTACATCACCATAGGACGCATCAGTTTTTTTTGTAAAGAATAAAGATGGAACACTTCAGCTATGTATTGATTATCGGGAGCTGAATAAGGTACCAATTAAAAATAAGTATCTTTTGCCTCGAATTGATGACTTGTTTGATCAGTTAGATGGAGCATAAGTATTTTCTAAGATTGATTTGAGATCCAGATATCATTAATTGAAAGTTAAAGCTAAAGATATAGAAAAATCCGCCTTTCGAACTAAGTATGGACCTTATGAGTTTTTTGTCATGGCATTTGTAGTTAGAAATGCACTTGTAGCTTTTATGGACCTAATGAATCGAATTTTCAAGACGTATTTGGATGAGTTTGTGGTTGTATTTATTGATGATATATTGATTTATTCGAAAATTAAGGAAGAGCATGAATATCATTTGAGATTAATTCTTCAAATACTCAGAGACAAGAAGTTATATGCTAAATTGAAGAAATGTGAATTTTGGTCAGATAATGTTGTATTTTTGGGTCATGTGATTAACACATATGGTATTTCAGTAGATTCGCAAAAGATTGAAGCTATTGTAAATTGGCCTACACTGACTAATGTTACAAAAGTTCATAGTTTCATGGGTTTGGTAGGTCATTATCAGGTTATTATCAGTGAGTAAAGACATTATTCACAACGGGTTTACCGATATTAAGCCTCAAGCAATCACCTACACAAAACACATAGTAAAGCACACATTGAAACATATGACTTAAACGAATGTTTCATCTTATTCCAATTATCTTTTAATATGTTTCTATTTCATTTGTTATTAATGTCTAAACAATGCCCAAGAATTTTTATGAGAGCATGAGGATGGAAACATGCACATGAGAGTGTGTTTCAAAATGCTGAAAATAGGACAGTTGCTCGAGCTGCGCTTGAGCAGTGTGGTCTGTCTGCAAAAGTACTACATAATGTCAAAGTGGGCTCGAGCCATAACTTGGTCGCTTGGTTGATCAAGCCTACTGCAAAGCTCTGCAAAAATACTAGAAGCATACAAAGTGCGCTCGAGTGACAAATTCATCACTTGAGCGTAGTGGACGATTTTTGGGTTTTCTAGAATTGCATTTGAAGTTCAAAAACATAACTTTCATAACCAAAACTTGCATGGCTGGTAGAGATATGTAAAAACACTTCATAACTCATAGATATTATCTCAAATCATAGTCCCAAAACCTCTTTCAATTTTCCAGAACAAAACCCAAAACTCAATAGTTTCGCCATGCATGTAATAAATTCAACCTCTTTCCTTTCAAAGCATGATCATATGAGATGATAAGTATAAAATCATGAAGAGTCTTCAAAAATAGCAAGTATAACTTCATGCATGTAAAGATTTTGGTGAAAATCAACTTAAAGATGATGAATTATGTATGCATGTCCTAATTTAGTTCATATCTTCCATAATTAAGTTGATTCTTTCATCTACTTGTCAATTACATACAATTTACTATTGTTATCACATGAATCCAATTCCTACATAAACTATTTGCAAGAATTAAGGTTAAATTTCATACCTAGAGCTTGAATTAAAGGTGTGATAGCTTAATTCCCTCAAATCTCCCCTTAGACTTCACAATTCTTCTTCTTCTCTCTCTAAAGAAGTCGTCCTCCCTCTCTCTCTAATTTTTCAGCTCAAAGGTGATGAGAAATGAACTTATTAAGCTTTTATTATACATATATATGTGTGTGTGTGTGTGTGTGTGTGCATATGTATAGGCTTGATTAGGTTGGGTTAATTAAGTAGGATTAAGGCTAATTAATCTAGCTCAAGTTTAATTAATTCTAATAAATTCTAATTGATTTATTCTAATTAATTTGATCCGTCTCAAATTTTAATCAAACTTGTCATATGATTCTAAATATTCCAATAGTCTATTCAACTAGTCAATTTTTGTTTCTGAATCCGTTTGCACTTTTAATTTCTTATTCAAAATAAGCAATTAAACATATATTCTTTAAACAAACAAGTAGCCACAATGTAATTATGCTTAGCAAAATAATATGTAAAAATAGTATGCATGTCGGGATTGTCACACGTCCACCTGTTCGTCCCATGCTTCAAATTAAACAGTTACAGAAAAATACAAACTCAAGACACAACTCAAGACACTTAGAATCCTTATAGTCAAAGAGATTTGATAAACACAAATAAAAATAAACAATTTTTTTATAGTGAGATTTTAAATTATATTTGGTGCAAAGCAAACCAAACACTCCTAAAACATTTACAATTAAAGAAGATTGGTATTGTTAGACAACTATTTGAGAAGTTAGTTAGTTAAAGTATTTTGATTTTAAGATATTTAATTTGGTGAACCATAAAGAAAGCAATTACATAATCACGACACTTTTTTTATTTTTATTTTTATAATAATAACAGTGAATTTATACCTAAAACAATTACTAAGAATGACAATTCATAATTTAGATTGAACTTTTATATTGGGGGGGGGATGAAAAAGTTTTACATTGTGCTATGCTATGAGCCTAAAATCCACATCATAATGTATACATGTTAAAAATTATTTATTTTTATTTGTGTCTATCAAATCTCTTTGACTATAAAGGTTTTAAGTGTCTTTGATTTATATTTTTCTATTTTGTATGCTTTTGTATTTTTATATATACTTTTTTCAAAGGGAAAAGGTTTTCCTCCAACCTTTTATATAGGAGTTCCTACCTCCCAAGTAATGTGGCAATCTATGATTGGCCACTTATTACTCAAATAAAAACCTATTAACTCCTTAGCATTTTGTTGTTGCTGTTGTTGTTGTTGCTATTGTTGTGATTAACCTTAATATTAATGTTAGAAAACATGTATTTAGAAATCCTAAATATTTTAGATAACTCATGTATTTTTTTTAAAATTAAATATTTATCTAAAAATATATTCTTTAATTTTTTTAAAAGAATTTCATTATACTTGGGTCAATTAAATTTGATCCTATAAATAAATAAATAAACTCTATCTAAATAAATAATAATAATAATAATAATAATAATAATAATAATAATAATAATAAAACAATATGAATTCAAGTGAAATATGTCATTCAAAATACTTGATTCAACTTTTTATCTTTTTAAAAGTATCTACTGTCACATTCTTGCAACCATAATAATTTAATTATTCAAGAAAAATAATTTGCCCAGTGATTACAAAGAAAAACATTACATTAAAATTTATTTATTTTTGATTGGAAATATTACACTAGAATCAACAGACTCATACGTAGCACCCATTGGTCATTGTTTCACGGAAAATATAATTAGTACCAAAGTAATATGTAGAGAATTACAAGACGTTACCTATTGTATACCATGATATATTGAAACAAATTAATTTTATTATATTTAAATTGGTTTCATAATCTAGAGACGATAAAAAGGTTATGGAAATTTTTTTTAAAAAAAGACTAGAAATTTTAAGTAAAGCAAAACCGGTTTCGTTCCTTCATGTAATTTTTCAATTGGAGTAAAGATAAATACAATGGGGATTTTAGAAACCCAAGTATAATAAAATTATTTTAGAAAGTTAAAGAATATTATTTTACACAAATATTTAAATTAACAAACAATTATATAAGTTACCTAAAATATCTAAAATTATTAAATACATGTTTCTGTTGACCACCAAAACGATATTAAGAAATTAAATAGATTTTGATTTGGGTAACAAATGACCAATCATAAAATGCTACATCATTTGGGATGTAGGAGCTCCTCCATAATAGGTTAGAGATGTAGGAGCTCCTCCATAATAGGTTAGAGGAAAACTTTATTCTTCTAAAAATTAACATTCAGTTTTTGTTTTTTTTTTTGTTTCATTTTGTTTCCTGTATAAATTCAGTTTTTTAAATTTGGTTTGTTTATTTACTTAATTATGTGTGTTTTTTTTTTAAAAAAAAAATCAGTGTTCTTAAAATCTTCTTTAAAAAAAAGTTTTGTTAGGTTTGTTTTTGGGTTTTTATTATTTTAATTTTTATATTAACATTTCAGTTTTATTTTTTTTCTTTACGTATATCAAATCTCTTTAGTTTTGTTTGATTAGAAAGAAATAAATGATAGAAAGTGAAAATGGTAGAATATAAAGTAAAAGAAAAGAATATATATATATATATATTCTCGTATGATGAAAAATTTGCAAGAAAATAGGGATTCTAGTTATATGGAATTACTTTTATGAAAAAAAATTTAATTTTCTTGTATTATCCTGTGTTTTTTGCAAGAAATTGGAAGTTTAGTTATTGTTGGGGCAATCTCACATCGCCTGGGGAGATTCTAACAAAAAATCTTAAAATTTAGAAAAAATTCAACAAGATTTACTATTAGAATAAAAATATCAAACTAATAATAAACCAAAAATAATAAATAACTATTATTATCAGAGAGAGTTTAAAGAAGTCTAAATGGTGATTAAGTCACGCAGATTGCGCTCTCCTTAGGAGCGATACACCATATTCTGCACGGAGTTGAATGGTGTTCCTCTCTCAAGATACAACGACTTTCGAAATCACTTGTTGTGTACAGTAAAGTGAATTCATGAACCTTAAATTGCCCAACACTCATTTGTAAACTCAATACAGTAAACTCACAAAGAAAATAACAGAGCAGAAGAAGAAAAGAAAGGTTTTTTTTTTTTTCTTTTCAAAACAACGTTGAAGTCTTATTATATACACAATTAAATAATAATAATTTAGATATTGTAAGATAACCGAAAAGACTAGGAAACTAATATGACGTTATAAATTTATTCCTAAAAAGATACAAATATCAAATAAAATAAATTAAATTAAATACAATTTTAAAATTACAAAATAACACTACGTTTGATCGCATAGCAGATAATAGGTGAGCAAGGATCCCCTTCTTGACTCCCCTACTTGACTCCCTACTTGATGGGCTATTTGGTCAACTTTTGGATCAAATTTCGATGATCCGAACCGTTCACATTTTAAAATTTGTTATGTACATCATACCTGTAAAAAATCAAATTGATCCAATATCAGAAGGACTAAAAATTGTTTATTAAAAAAAATTTAATAAACCGTTTTATTGTTTAATAAAACTTTTAATTCACGTGATTTTTGATATCCGATCGACTTGATTTTTTACAGGTATAATATACATGACAAATTTTAAAATTTGAACGGTTCGAATTATCAAAATTCAACTCAAAAGTCGGCCCAACGACCCATCAAGTAAGAAATTAAATAGTAGAGTCAAGGAGGAGATCTTTTGCTCGATGATAGGTCACCCAATCCAATCCAGTACTATAGCACCCCTACTTACCAGTAAGCAAGGGCAAAAAAATGAAGGAAAGAAGAGAGAGCTATACAGTGAAGCAGGCAGGCAAAGATTACGCCATCCCCGACAAAAGGCAACAACGGTATCTCGTATCATATCATACAAACATGAATTTCAAGCCCAGACACCCATTTCTTCGTTCAAGGAAGCTCCCATATATAACCCCCTCCCAGCTAATGTATACAACTTTACAAGTACCAGATTCATAGCATTTGACATTTTTTTAATTTTATTTATTTATCGATTTATTTTTTCCACACCTTTAAAACATACATTACATGGTTAAAATTTAGGGGTGAGC